CTCCAAAAAAGACAGTTAACAGTGTCTGAGGAACAGCATCTGAGTTTGTCCTCTGCTGTTTTCCACATGGGTACCTTCAAACACACGCATCCATGCAGATATACATGTGCATGTCTGCACACTCACACACAAATAAGAAAGCAAACAAAATACATCACATCAGAACAAAGTATGAAACGTCCTATAGTTTACTCTATAAATTTGGTAAACTTTAGCACTGTTTCATGATAAAAGCCTGATTAATTATAGATACAGAGATCATAGACTAATTTAATAAAGGCCATATAAGATGGAAATGCACCAACATTATACTGAAAGGAAAAATGCTCAAAGTGTTTCTCTTAGGTATGGTGATGTTCACTTGTACTGCTTAATCAATACAGAATTTCTGGAAATTTTAGTCAAGTAAATTAAAATGTAATAAAAGTATTACAAATAGGAAGGCAAACTACCCCTGCTTACAGATATGATTCTCTACATAGAAAAGCCTTTTAAAAAATTAGCGATGTTTCAGATGTAAATGTGATGAACCTGCTTAATAAAAAAAAAAAAAAAGGGAAGCCTAAAAGCCTCAGCAAAAGATTATTAGAACTGAAAAATAAAATTTGGTAAATTTGCAAAATTAAAAAGGTCATCACGCAGATGTTGGAGATAGAGGTCACTTGGTAAAGTGCTTGCCCTGAAAATATCAGATTAGTCCCTAGCACACATACTAAAAAAAAAAAAAAATCAAAGTACCAGAAATGGTGTAGATGCTAATAACATAGTGATGGGGAAGTAAAAATAGGCCTTGGCCAGTCAGTGAGAAGAGATTCCAAAGACAATAAAATATAACAAATGCTAAGTGGGGATGGATGGTACCAAAGGAATGAAGCTGAGGTGCTTCTATGGCCTTCCTGCACCTGTACACACATTTACAAAAAACAGTAGTTAAAAAAAATTCAGTATATACAGGTCTCACTGAGTAGCCCTGTTGACAGGCCCAAAACTTGCTACATGGACAAGGCTGGCCTTGAACTCATAGAAATCTGTCCTCCTCTGCCTTCTGACTATTAGAATTAAGGGTGTGTGCCACAATGTCAGGACTCAGTACTGTTTTTAAATATATAAAACAAAAAATGAAGCTACTGAAAAAGATATCACGAAAGCAATACAAAACTTAAGAGGTATAAATCAAACAAAGAATACTCCAACTCTAACCATTAAAAAAGAAATACAGACAGGGAAGTAGGCTCAGATATTTTGATCTTCCTGATAAGCCTTTAGAAACAGTGATCACAGGAGTGATCAGATCACGGAACTGTGTTTACTGCCTTGCTTGTTCTCTGACTATTTGTGTTGCTGTCTTGCTTAGTCCTTGACTATTTGCAACTATTGCTAATTCTTCAACCTAGAACTGACCTTAACACTTGCTTGTAATTAGAATGGTATAAAAACAAAAAGGAGGGGGAGGGATGAGATGGGGGTTAGGAGGGATGGGGAAAGGGGATAACATCTGAAATGTAAATAAATAAAATATCCAATAAAAAATTGAAAAAAAAAATACAAAAACTTCACAAAAACAAGCCTAGAACTGAATTTAACAAAGAAAGCCACAGGCCTCTAAAATGATTTTTTTCTATGTTCCTACATTAAGAATTAATGTTACTAATGTTTAGGGGCTGGAAAGGCGGCACAGTGGTTTTGAGAGTGTGTGTACTGTCCTTATAGAGCCCCACAGTTCAGTCCTCAGTAGCTCACAACTTCTTGTAACTCTAGCTCCAGGGCATCCAACACCACTTTTCAGCCTCTATGGGCACCGAGACCCACCTACAAATATCATTAATGTCCACAGTATCCAAAGCAATTTGCAGGTTTGATGCAACCCCTTTCAAAACAGGACACTCTTAACAAGACAAGGGGGACCCCCCCTCCACATACACACAAATATGGAAGCACAAACAACCTCAAATAGACAAAATGAATATAGAACAAAACTGTAGGCATCACAGTACCAACTTCAAACACAGCACTAAGCAAGAGTAAACAGAAAATGCTGGTACTAGCATAAGTATAGAAGAATAATGACTCCCTGAAGAAAAAAATCCACACATCTATAGTAAACAGATTCCCAACAAGATACAAAAACTACCAGAGAAATGACATCCCTTTAATAAACATTGCCAGGATATGCATATGTATCTCTTACCTTGCACAAGAGATCAAAGACCTGAACTTCCCAAACTACTAAAACACAGACATACTTCAATGCTGAATATAGGTAGTATTTGAATATAAGCCTAAAAACGACAATAGGAACAGAAATGACAAACACAACTAAAAACTTCTATATAACAAAGAAAACCAAGAGTGGAGAATATAAATAATTATACCTATTCATCTGACATAAGATTAACATCTAAAGTATTTAAGAAACTCAGAAACAATATGAAAAGCTCCACATAATCCCATAGAGAAAAAAATAGATGAATGATCAGAATACTTCTCAAAAGGCAGCAATACAATAACCAATAAATATAATCTTAAGACATCTAGCACAATTACTCAATAAATCAAAATTGTAATAAGGTATCATCATAGCCACCTAGGAAGTCCACTGTAAAATATAGACAAACTAAAAACCACAAAATGCTGACAAGGATATACAGGGAAGACACTCTCACCCTTTATAGACGAGTTGTAATTAGAAGAACCATTATGGAAGATAGTATGAAAACACCTTAAAAAGCTGAGAATAGTTGGGTGTGGTGATGACTCCTCCCCTCCATCCACCTTCCCTCTACCCCCCTCCCTTGTGTGTGTGTGTGTGTGTGTGTGTGTGTGTGTGTGTGTGTGTGTGTGTGTGTGTGACAACAGCCCTGGCAACATAGTAACAGCCTGTCTAAAACAAAAGAAAATCAAACATGCTAAAACAAGTCTGTGTGTGTGAGTAACTCTATTCCTTGGTATACATGACTTGATACATGAACCACATTTAGTGGGGCATCCACCAATGACTAAAGACAAAATGTATTATATGTTCAAAATGTAGTCATTATCCAGCCATAAAGATGAATCCTGTCAACTGAAGCAAGATGGATGGAACTGAACTACCTTAAGTGAACAATCAGATACAGAAAGACAAACAATATATTCTTTCATGGAGAAGCAAAGAAAAAGCCAATCTGGGGCAGTGGTGATGGTTCAGTAGGCAGAGAACACATAGGTTCCCAGTTAGATTCCCCACCACTATAAAGGTAATAATGTTACAGGTACGTACATACATACATACATACATACATACATACATACATACATAAACTTGGATCTCAGTGTTTCATTGGCTAGCCAATCTGAGTTCTAGGTTCACTGAAAGACTTTCTCAAAAGTTAAGGTATACAACATAGGGAAATACTTAAAGTTGGATTCTAGCTTCTATAGCGCACACCACAGGTGAATGTACTCTCACATATCCATGCAGAAAAACGAACAGTCAATCTGAACATAAAAAGGTGATTAACAAGAAGAGGTCAGGAAGAGTATTCATGGAGAGATATAAAAGGTTGGATTTTATCAGTGTATACTGTATGCAAGTGATGACAGGACATTGAATATCATTAATACAGTCTATAAAAAGTACCCATGAACAAATACTGAGATCCACATTAATTAATTATGGCATATTGTTATAATGGAGTACTACGCACTCATTCAAAATGAGAAAGAAAATCTAACAGCATTCAAAGATATTAAACTATATATAAGCTTTTAAAAATCACAACACATGTTTAAAAAATTCAAAATAGACATTGTATACAATAAGTAAAAGTTTAATTAGTAACAGGAAAATCATATATATATGTAATATATATATATGCATATATACACACACACACACAGATATATACTTTGGGGAAGGGCATTCAAGACAAGGTTTCTTCGGTGTACGCCTGGTGTTCTCAAATTCACAGAGATCCACCTGCCTTTGTCTCCAGAGTGCTGGGATTAAAGGCATGGGCCACTATTGCCCAGCAATAAACTGTGTATTTAAAAAGAAACTGGTTCTTTATATGACTCCAGTAATGTTTGCAAATTTTGGAACCAGTATGTTTATTTTCAGAAACAGAACATAATCAATTAATGAAATTATGCAAATGTGACAGAATCTTTAAAGCTGCCTTGAATCCTATTCTTATTCTAGTAAACCAATTCTGTGACTATCCTCCTCTACACTGCCATACAATTTTTTTCCTGAAAACCAAAGCAACAGATGCTTGTCAATTTTTCTGCAACCAACTCTCCCACGACTCTGATACTGTCATTTAAACACAGATCAAAGGAGGAAAGCTTAGGGCAACTTAACAGTTCTGAAACTCTGCAGTGCTGGAAGACATAATTATGGAATTTCCCCTTAAAAATGCCCATGGGCCTATTCTTCTTCAAACTATTTTATTTCTCAATTTAACCATTTCTCAGTTTAAAAAGATGTTACCTGCAACAACAGAGTTAAAAAAAAAAAACACTTCTAAAGCAACATCCTTCTTTCTCTGGCTTTAACAAAGCTCAATGTTTCATTTGCTTCTTTTAAAGTTACTTTAACACATATTTTGACACTAGTGCCTGCTTTTATGTTTGACTAACAGTTCTGCAGGCCAAGGAAGAACTGCCATGGTTTTCTCTCTTTTGTTCTGTTTTCCACCCTATTAAGTTTTCCCATTAGTCGACTGCCTGAGTTGTCAGATTCCATCTACATCCTACTCAGTCACTATAAAAGCACGAAAACTCACAAATGTATATAAGAAGCTACAGCAAATACTTTGGTTAATTACTTTAAGCAAAATTAATGCTAAAACAAAACCCAACAGATAAGATTTCTGGTCAATCCAACAGTCAAGTAGAGAAATGTTTTTAAAAACTGTTTATTTTGCCATACCATACCAATATGTAGAGACCAAAACCCACGTAAAGATATTTTTAGGTGAAAATCAAGGATTCATTAAAAATGTCTGAAATATACTCACCGAAAGGTAGTTATTAACATCCACCCCATCGGTTATGGTTTGGCGTTCTCCTTTATAGTTAACTTTCCGAAACCTTCGTCGAGACTGTCTGGCAGGAATTTCTCTTTGTAAAATACTATCTTCATTATCTTTGGAATTCTCTACCTGAAATACATGTTCACATTCTTGATTAAACATCCAGTTTTTCCATCTTACTGACAGTCTATGAAGTCTTAAAAGGCTCATAAGGAGGCTTCATTTATTCTAGCCAAGAATAAATGCCTGAAGAAACAGTCTGTTTCTTGTTCAAGGCAATGTTCTGAGCTGCAAAAGATTAAAGACAATGTTTTTATAAAGAACTAGAGACCACAGTTTCCTTCCAGGAAGCTGTCTGTCTTGAGCACATAAACATATATCCGTCTAAGTAAAGTCACTTACCAGAAATGAAGGCTGTTAGCTACACCTACACATTTAATAATTATAACTTGGATGTTAGTCTAATTACAAACTGCCTTATTATGCATTTACTTTACTTACCAAATAATCATGGCTCTCATTTTAGTGAACTACTGAAAAGCAAAACAAAATTACTCTATTTTATTCTGACAGATGTTCTTGATGTCCACCTTAATGCATAACAACATCAGTAAGGATGGCAACTTTTAAAAATAACAGAGAAGCTGTTATAGAGACTACTTAAAATAGACAAGCATATATATTTCACTCTGCAACACTATGTCCAGTTACTATCTCTAGGTAAAAAAAAAAACGAAATCCCCAAGGACTAGTATCTTTCCAGCTCACAAGAGTGACCCTTACTAACGGTGAGCTGACAGGCCTATCTATTTGCAAAACCTGTAACGCTGACATAAGACTGCTATCTAATCACAGAGTATATCACTACTATAGAAACTAACAATACTTTTAAAAGATTTATTTTTCACTTATATGTATTTATGTATATATGTCTGTGTGAGTCAATACTACACATTTGCTGGTACCTAAGGAGGCCAGAAGAGGACATTGGATTCCCTGGAGCTGTGAGCAGCTCTATGTGAGTGTTGGGAACCAAACTTGACTCCTCTCCAAGAACATGCTCTTCAGCTCTCCAAACTTTTATCTTTGTACAAACATATAACTAACCTAATATTCAAGAATATTAATATTAAGCAATTCAGTCAAAAATCAATTTCCAGCTCCCATGCTCATCTTCCAAAGATCAGATCTATTTCTCAGGAAGTCAATACTGTTTGTACACGCTCTGCTCCTAATGCCCTTTCTTTCAACAGCATCATCACCATCCCTTATTTGAGTTTTAATCACTTCAGTCTTACAATACATCAATAGTGATCCTGCTGCTTTAGACAAGTTCTTCAATCTCATACTGTAGTCAGATAAGCTACCAAGATAAATCATCCTGTCAGGTCTCCTAATGTGACAATGGACAGCCAATGTTTACCACATTTATTGAAATTTAAAAAATTCATTTTATGAGTATAGTTTTTTCCTGCATGTATGTCTCTGCACTACACATATGTCTGGTATCTGCAGAGGCCAGAAGGCGACACTGGAGCCCCTGCAACTGGAGTCACAGACTGTGACCATATGGATGTTGGAAACTGAACTCAGCTTCTCTAAAGAGTAGCCAGTACCATTAACCAGCATCATCTCCCTACCCTTGATACACTTAAACTCTTACACCTGATATTCAAAGCCATATATATCTCTATCTCCCTTAAATTGTTTTTCCCTCCAAGACAGATCCTTGCTCTGTATCTGTGCCTGACCTTGAACTTGCAATATTCCTGGAATATTCACACAATTATACTTATTTATGGGACATAGTATATATGTACTTGCAGTGTATTTATCATTTTATTTTTTTCACATGGTTCTATGACATAAATGGAGTCTCATTGTTATATGTGTATTTCTTACATTTATTTCTCTGAAATGAGTACTCTTTTCCTTTAGATTTACTTGTTTATTTTATTCTTTGTGTATGGGATTTTGTCTGCATGTATGTGTAGGCCTGGTGGCTTCACCTGTGGAAATCAGAAACAAGCATCAGAACTGGAATTATAGGTGGTTGTGAGCTACCATGTGTGTGTGCTAGGAATCGAACCTTGTCCTCAAAAGAGCACAAGTGTTTTTAACTGTTGAGTTATTACTCCAGCCCTGAAATGTTTGTATTCTTTGTATGTTGGTTTAAAAAGTTCTCTTGGTACTCAGAAGTACTGCAGTTTTGTTCTAGTTACCTTTGTAGTTAAATCATCTATGAAATTTCCTGTTTTTTATTAATATAAAATTCACATATTAAAAAAACCTAGTCATAGTTCAGTGGCTTTCTGTATAGTCATGAAATTGTTTAACAGTCATCACTTCCTGGTCCTACCTCATTATTACCACCTTAAAGAAACTCAGCATCTATCTGTATTTAATCCCTGCCTTTTTCCATAAATGGTAACTACTAATCTCAATTTTTCCTATCAGTTCAATTTCTCTTTTGTAATATAATATTTATTTGTAATACACACACACACACACACACACACACACACACACACACACACACACACGTACGTACACAGATAGGACAAAAACACAGACACACACAGAGAATGACACTGGTGTCAAACTCACTATGTATGTAGTAGACCTGCCTTATTTTATACTCAGAGCTCTGCTTGCCACTGTCTCCAGAGTGCTAGGATTAAAAACATGTGCCATCACCTGGAATCTTATTGTATATAATTTATATAAATGAAGTAATATTATTGATGGCTTCATGTGTCTAGCTTCTTTCCATTTTTTTTTTACATTCAATACAATATTTTTTCCATCAATTAATTTATTTACTCACTTTAAAACCCAATCACTGTCCCCCAGCCCCTCTGGCTTCTTTGACTTAACAGAGTATTTTCAAGGTTAATCTATTTATGGCAGAATGCTCACTCTATATAAGGCAGAGTACTATTCCATCTTACGGACACTGAATAAGGTTTATTCAGGTTATAGATATTTGTGCTATTTCTATTTCTGGGAAATTATGGATAATGTACATATCTGTATACAAGATGTTATATATGTTGAAGTAAAATTAATGAGTAATATGTTAACCAACTGCCTAACCATTTTTCTAAACTGGTGGCAGCATCTCACACTCCCAGCCAAGACAAAGGCTCCAATTTTATTAGATGCTTCCTAATGCTAATGATTGCCTGCCAATAAAACTCATTAATTTTAATTTTGGATGAAATCTTCAAGTTACAACCATGGGTGCCTTTCATATAGTTCTTTACTCTTTAGGAAAAACTGGTCTAACCCCAAGACATATTGGACATAGGCTGTTAAGTAGCTGTCCTTGTCTTCCTACCTGGAAAAAACTATATTTAAAAATTAAAAATAAAAAGAAAATCGTGTACAGAATCTTTTTAAGTATAGTCACAACCCAAAAATTCCTAACAGGGAAATCTTTGTAATGGTAATGAAATGCATTCCAGATAACAGATTCACAACCTCTTTAAAACAAAATTAATTTTGTTTTCTCTGCTTATGAGCGTGGGTCTCATTGTGGCCCACATTGTCCTTGAAAGTTCAGCATTTCTCCTGCCTCAGTTTCTGGAGTGCTGGGACTACAGGCATTTGCCACCAAGGCAACAAAGTGATCTTTACTTTGAAAGAACCAACTAAGCTAATATATCCAATGAATAAGATGATGTCTGGCTGGTTGCAGGTAGTTCCAATCATTTCTGAAGTTACTAGAGATTAAATATTTCAATGAATTATTAACACTTTAAAGAATTCTGAAACTTTGGATTATTTTCTTCTATAATTAATAAAGCATTCTAAACACGGATGAATCAGCAAAAACAGTTCTAAAATTTAAAAATTATATTTATATTTGATAATTTTTTACTGACATTCTATACACATCAATTTTTCCTGATCTATCTAAAGAGTAACTGGAGGGACATTGTCTGTTTCTCATGAAATTTATCAACATGAATTTTCTCATGCCTAGAACTTTATCTCATATTAGCATAACAGTTATCAAAATCAAGAATTTGACAGTATCTTACCTGCATGCTATTTTTCTAACATTATTTATAATTCTCCATTGTCCAATAGTCAACAGAAAAAACAAGCATTATGTTCGTTAGAAGCTACATTTTTGTTTTTTAGAACGGATTCATGACTGCTCTATTTCCTGTCACTGAGATCTCATCAATTTGTAGAATGTTCTCTAATGTGTCTGGTAATTTGTGAGTTTGGTTTAGTATGAATGCTGAGCAAGATTACATCTCAGACATGATCTTTCTTCTCAGTGTTGTCAGAACAAGAGTAATATCCCATTAGTTTGTATATAAATGATGACAACAGCAATAATTACTATTCTGGTGAAAATCTGCCATATTTTAACATCAGAAATTTAGTAATGTTCCCTTCACAAATAATTGCTAGGAACATACTCTGTGATGTCCTAAGTATTCTGTTCTCTAACTGAACATTAGTCTCCCTAGGTTTACCAATGTTAAGCCAAGTATTTCCTTACTGTTTGTTAGCTGGCATTCTACCATCCAGGAGAGCTATTTCATCTTCCTTTTTCATTTATTCATATCATCAAGGTTTTAACTACTTGTATTATATATGAAGGTACCATCACCATTATAAACTTTTATTTGGATTCCCAAATGCCCCTAGGATTGGCCAATGGGAGTCTTTTTGATCTGGGTCCTGGGTTACTTTAAATTGTGTTAAACGGTTCCTTTACATTGTTTTCAGGTAATGAAAATGCTTCTTAAGGGGGAAAAAGATAATAAAGAGGCGTAAAGAGAAATTCATTGTTAAATATTTTTTAAAAGGTACATTTAATACATGTGTACATTAAAATTCTAGGCAGTAGTTTTCTTCATTAATATATATATATATATATGTATATATATATATATATTTGTATGTTAGTATCTGGCTTGTCTCCTTTTCTTTTTGAGACAATGTCTTAAGGAAACCCATGCTGCCTGTGACTCATTATCTGGTTTTGAACTCATGTTCATCCTGCCACCTCCTGGTCAAGTGCTTAAATTAAAGTGTGAATTATGATGTCTGGCTTGTAATTAGTTGTACATTAAGTTTACTAGTTTAAAAATTAACAATTATTAAACAATTTTTATTAACGTCTTCTTACATTATTTAGTACACACACACACACACACACACACACACACACACACCCACCCCACACCACGGGTGGAGGTCAGGAAACAATTTCTGGAAAGCAGGCTGTCAGACCCAGTGGCAAGAACCTTTACTTGATGAACCAGCCATCTCACCAGTCTAAATACCTAAAGAATCTGATGAGTAAATTAATAGATACATGATAATGTAAGCTATCAAATCCTAACTCTTAGTAAATAAAAAGGACATGGTAAAGTGCCAGAATAAACTCTGGGCTTTAAACAGAAATGGAGAAATGCACATAAATGCAAACTCATACACAACAGGCTGACGTGCATTTTAATGAGGGGATCTCAAGGAACAACCAGCCAGAGCTTAGCTTGCTTTTTAAACATTTTCTGAAACAACAACAACAACATCACAAACAAACTCCCTTTACAAAAAAGGTTTTAACAGTTCTCCATTTCAAGCAGCAAATGTAAGATGAGACTGTAGCATAAAATGATTTCCTGACTTTTCCTGATATACAAGCATACTATACAGCTTGTATGTGCACTAAGTATTAAAGCCCATTGTAATACCACTGCAGTTCTAGCAACTGCAGTTCTAAGGCATCCAATGCCCTCTCCAGACCTCCGTGGACACTGCACACATGTGGTTCACTTACACTATGCAGGAAAAACAATCATACATAAATATACATACATACAAAATAAATCTCTTAAAAAGCCAAATTTTCTAAAGTTCTAACAACTATCTAGGCCTCTTATGGGAAAATAAAAAAATATTCATTAAACACAAGTCTAAATGAAATATTATCTCCAATTATTAAAGACTATAAGTATTAGAAACAAACTATTTTTTACTTGGGTCTATTTCATATGTGCCTTTATTTTCTCTAGCTCTTCATCTCAGACCATCTAAAGTTTACCGACTACATCAATGGCAAAGGAGAAAACACTGGAAAAATTGTGCTCCTTTAAAGAGACCCCCTCACGCCGGGTGGTGGTGGCGCTCGCCTTTAATCCCAGCACTTGGGAGGCAGAGGCAGGTAGATTTCTGAGTTCGAGGCCAGCCTGGTCTACAGAGTGAGTTCCAGGACAGCCAGAGCTACACAGAGAAACCCTGTCTCAAAAAGCCAAAAAAAAAGAAAGAGAGAGAGACCCTCTTACTTGACCACAGAGACACACAAACACTTCCCTCTCCTACACACACACACACACACACACACACACACACACACACAGCCTGCTTTTTAATTTTCTGGTGGAACAGGTAAAGAAAGTTACCAAATTTGGGCCATATTATCTCTATTATCATGCTAGACATTATTTCAACCATCACAGAAGTGTTAAGAGATAAAAATAGATAAAGGTGTTACATGGTTCTGATGTTATTTAAATATCACCACAGGTCATGGAAAAAAAACTTTCTTGGGTATTGAACGCCTACCATATTTAGAGTTGAAACTGAAGCGTATCAAAAAAGCAATTCAGCATCTTACCACAATCATTTCTGAAGGTTCTAATACAAGACAATCACATCCTCTTTTTCCTCCAAACTGCTTACCAAAACTATAAAAACAGAAAAACAATTTCTTTAGCAGAAGTTATAACATATGTCAATATGGGAAAAAAATAAAAACTCCGAGACATTAACTGAGAAATTCTGATCCTCTTACTGAGATTTTCTAACATAAACAAGTTCCTCTTAATTGCTCAAATATGACAAATCTCACCTCAATTCTGTGTACAACTTTTTCCAAAGTTTCTTTACTAAGTCACCATAATTATTTATGAAAGATATTTACCTAATCTTAAATTCTAAACATTTAAACAAGACGAAATTAAAAGAAAAACATTCAAGATGTGATATTATGTTCTAGAAAAGTATTATAATAGGTAACAGATATAGAAACAAAAAAAACATTTTAGTAAATGAAGAAATGCAGATAGACAATAAAATGATTTTTTTTTTAAAAAGGAATTGCTAGATTAGCCATTTCTGGAAAAAAATAAAGAAAAACAAAAAAAAAACCTTAAGCAAGTCTATGATAAGAGAAGTACTCCATATGCTTCATCTGAGAAAAAGATTTCTAAACAAATCAAAACTAGAAAGAAATAAAGAAAAACTGAGCTTTAGAAAGGCAAATTAAAAAAGAAAAAAAAGCAAAACAAGAAAAAATAAGTTGTCAAACACATGAGACACAAAGATGAAGCGTGTAGAGCATAGTGAAACTTGAGCACCATGTAACACACTAGCACCATGACATAAAAACATGTAGTGGGTCTGACAGTTGTTATAGTTGATAGTAATAGGAATTGTTTTATTGTATAGTCTACCAATCTAAAACAGATTTGATTACTTTGAGCCTTATCTTTTAAACTTTGAAGGAAAGAGCTAGAGAAAATAAAGGCACATCTGAAATAGACCCAAGTAAAAAATGATTTGTTTCTAATACTTGTGTCCTTTAATAATTTGAGATGATCTTTAAGTTTGTATTTAATGAGTAATTTTTTATTTTCTCGTAAGAGGCCTAGATAGTTGTTAGAACTTTAGAAAATTTGGCTTTTTAAAAAGACTTATATTTATGTATAATTGTTTTTCTTGCATGTATGTAAGTGAACCACATGTGTGCAGTGTTAGTGGATAAAGGAACTTTTTTGCTCTTGCAGACAACTTGGGTTTGATTACCAGTACCATATGGTGGTTCACAACCTTCCATAACTCCAGTACTAGGGGATTTGACATCCTCTTGTACTTTCCATTGCACCAAGCACATATATACACATATACATAGACAAAATGCTCATATGTACGAAATAAAAAATGTATGTCAAAGTAAAATACTGACTCTTCAGTAAGTAAACAGGAAGGGGAAGGATACTAATGTTAAAAAGAGGTTACTCAGAATAAATTCTAAGTCATTTATAAGGAAGATTATAACTTTACCAATGAACTGGAACCAGTGCTTAAATAAAGCAACAATCAGCATATACTTTTACAAGAAGGCTCAAAATTATAATTACACAATTTTATAACATATAGTATTTGTTTTAAATAGTTTACAATAAAAATCTTAAACAAAATTCAATAAGGAGTTTCATGCAACACAGAATAGGAGCTGTATACACTCTTCTAAATGAAAATACAAAATGAAAGAAAAATCATAAAAAAAATATGTAACAAATTTCAAGATAATGGAAGGTAGGCAGAACAGGAGTAGCATCTTTTTCCAAGAGAGAAAGCATCAGCAAAGCTGACCCTGACAAATGCTTAGCTTACTATCCTTGCTACATGTAACCTTGACAACCCAAGAAGCAGTTACTGAACTGAAAGATAGCAAATCAATTTTTAGGGAAAAAAACTGCTTCAAACTTTTCAAATTTGTAAAGTTGGAGCACCAGAGAGTAGATGGAGAGGCAGAGAAGAGGGATAAAAGAAGGGAGACAGAGCAGACACACACTCACAGGCTTTGGAGATGTCTGGAAAGGCTCTCAAATCTGTACTGTACTGTGACTCACAGCATATCCAGTGGGTGTGTGAGAAACAAGAGCCAACTGAACAAGCACATAGCACACAGACACTAAATACTGTCCACAGAAACACATCTTTTTAATGATACTACAGTTCTGAAGAAGTGCTCGATTTGATCGCACAAATTTAAAAGATAAGGCTCAAAATAATCAAATCTGTTATAGATAGCCAGACTATACAGTAAAACAATTCTTATTACTATCTTAAGCAATATAACAAAAACTGAAATCCATTTACACTAAGATGTGCAGCATCTGATATCCAATAAATGAAACAGCAGCCACTTCCTCCAAATTGTACAGACTCAGTGCAGTTTTAATAATTTAAAAATCCCAGAAAGTTGATTTTAAAGTCTGACATAACAATCCAAAGATTTACATAGACGTTTCAAGAAGCTACTATACTGAAACAAAGGTGGAAAACAAATTATCAAACTGCATGACACAATGGTATTCCAGTTGATAAGTATGGGACCAACTCACAGGCTAAACAACTCACAGCAGCAAAAGGCCAGAAAGGCCCACACATACACGCTCCAATTGTTTTTGTGACAAAAGTAAAACTATATTCTGTGTGTGTGTGTGTGTGAGACATAATCTCCTCCTTTTTAAATTTTTAAATGATTAGCTAATTAATACAAAACAGCCAGAAAGAGGGTCAAGCAAAAGAAGCTTGTCTCTATGACTGGCAACCTGAGTTTGATCCCCAGGACCATAGTGAAAGGAAAGAACTCCTCCAAGTTGTCCTGAAATCTCCACCTGTGAGCTGTGGCAGATGAACACATACAAATAAGCAAACAAAAATTATGAAACCAAGGGGAGATTCAGCAAAGCACCAGGGAGCAAAGATTAATTGAAAATGGTTGGAAATAAGTGAAAAAAAAAAGATCACAAAGTAAATTTTTTATATAAGCTTTTTATTAGGGTTAGAAGTTGCTACCTGTATGTCTACAAATTTCACTTTGTTTTGTATTCTTTCAATAGTTTTCTGTGCTTAAATTATCAGGCAGTTTTAATATCATTTTATTATAGTATATTTTATTAACTGATTTTAGATGCACAACCAACCCTGTATTTGGAAAATTCTAATGCTGGCAACATAGTATTTTAAATACATTCCTAGATTCAGCTTACTACTATTTTGTTAGTTTCTGCATATCCTCCCCACCCCCTGTGTTACTGCTCTGGACTTTCTACATATATAGATCAGGGTGCACTAAAACTCACAGAGATATACCAGCCTCTGCCTCCCTGGCACCTTCATACCTCCAGCAGTTCATAGATGTTGGGGTAGGCCAACTCAAAGCCCAGTACTGTCCCTGTGGGGAAAATTTAAGAAGCTGCCATAGTGGCGCGGTGGCCCCGGAGGGGCTTCCACCGCTGTGGCGGGTCCCACATTTGGGAAGAAACCCCTATGGTTCAGCGGCCTAGAGGCCTTGTCGACGGCAGGCCCCAGTAACACGAGGAAGTCCTTGGTTCCAAAAAGGTTTATTGTCATGGCGGATAACAGATGGATCTAGGCGTACCCCTCAGAGCAGTCCCGAGTTATATAGGGAGGGAGAAAGGGGGAGGATAGGGGGAGGATCTGGGGAGGCATGTTTAATTTGCTCTGCCCTCTGGCCTTCATTAGTATGTAAATCCCTAGGGCCTGAGGCCTATAGCCTGGCCTATGTAATTCTATGGAGACCTTGACTGCTTTTTCAGGATCCTGGGTTCTGGGGGGCGTCGAACTCCTGTCGGTTCTCATGTAGAATCTCACCTAGAATCTACAGTCTCGGGGTTCTAGATACTTGTTCCACCATGATCCAGGATACCCTTACGCAGTCCCACATGTCCCCACTCCTGCCAGCTCACCTAATGCCACAGCCAGCAAGTGTAGGGCAGCTCTCATGCCCTTGGGGCTGACTCACCCACACCCATGCCACCAGTGCCAGCCCTATTGTGCTACCCAGGCAAGGTGCAGGATTCACTCTGCAGTGGTTGAATATCACCATGGTCCCAAGTGGCAGCCCAGATCAGGGACATCTTCATGGCCTTTGGTGGTAATGGGTCACAAACACTGACACAGACCCCTACTGCTGCATTGCCATGGACCCAGATATGGCCCTCCCAGCATCACAGGCCAGGACTTCACCGTAGTCACAGATGGCATCACAAGGTACTCACATTTGGCTGTTCCTTTCTACCCTCATGTCTCCAGATTCGTTTCTCTTCATAGTGCTCAAAACTGTCCCCTTTCTCTCCTATCTCTTCACCCCATACTTGCACATTGTAGTGGCTTGTGCTATATGGATGGGCCACACAGCACACAGGGCCTTTGAGTGTCTTTCAATGTTTGTCCAACCCCAAAGATTCCAAAGGAAACAAATTGCTGGCCCAAGTTAAACATGGGACTGTACAACTGTAATTCAACACAGAGCTGTCCAGTCTCATGGTTGAACCGCCACCACAGTCAACTAGAAGGCAAATAGGCCAATGATGAGAAGTAAACACAGAAGCCATGTCCAGTCAGTTGTGAGTCTCTATTCTTCAGGGACTGCTCTTCTCGAAGGCTAGGATCCCACATGGGAGTCATGACGACTCACACAGTGGTTAAATTTCTCAAAGGAAGAAGACACAGACCCACTGGCACTTTGTTACTGGCTCTATAGATGGACAGTGTAATTCACCATTTCTCAAGGAACAAGAACTGCAACTAACTTCCTGTCTCCAGTTCCACCTCACTTCCTAGTGCACAGGACACTGGGCTCTCTTCCCCGTCCAACTCTCCATCATCTATACACTTGCTTCTTTCTCTCCCATCACTCCACCACCTAACTGTTTACTCCCCACTGTTTCCCAATATAGGCTTTTCTTCAGTGCTATTTCCAACCATTTTAAAATGTGTGTTCAAAAACATCTTAAGCTGGGGAAACAAATTGTAAAGCAAATAAGAGGACCAGAGTCCAATCTCCAGACTCAGGGGTTCCACACTGGTAATTCCAGGACCAAGGAGGGAGACACCAGTGGATCCCTACTGTTTGCTGTCAGCCATGTAT